ACATAATAGATATTGGCCTATAATTTTCAATAGACGTTTTATTGCCAGATTTGAAGATTGGAAATACTATAGATGTTTTCCATGCAGAAGGAAACACATTAGTAGATAGAATCAAATTGAAAATATGCATCAGTGCATATGATTATGTTTACTTATTTCTACACTCTCATAGGCATCTAGATGCCAGTTGTTGTACTATATAGCTGGTTTAAATAATATTTTACTCATTAGATTTACCTGACTATTACATACAGATACATTGTAAAATTAATTTAAGGCAATAATGTGAAATTAATCAAGACGCAGGTACCTAGAAAAGGTATCTATGGTATAAATAGGGATAACTTTGTAAGAATTATTAATTTGATCTTCCTTTAGAAGATGATAACTTGGTGATGGAAACACGTGTCGAGATGTTAAAATAACGGTTTGGTGTTGGGAAAATATTTGATGAAAAGGTATAAAAATCCCTGGATCCGAAAAAAAACCCTCTGAAAATATGAAATGAAGTGTCGAAGACATATCTTGAGTAATAGTTTGACGTGATTGAAAGTCGACATCATGAAACAATGGAAATATAAAAAAATACATTCGAAATTAATACCCAGTTTCGATGAGATCATGTGAATAGGAAAATAATTTTGAAAAACCACCATCGGAAATAATGAATTTGTATTTTGAGCAAGTTTTTCTGGCCATTCACAATTATTTAGAAAACATACATGTTGAGGAATATTTATATCATTTTTGTTGACTTGAAAAGAACTTTAGACGGAGGTTAATTGTTTACAACTTTCCGTATTTAATTGTATTATGATTTGAGAATTTTTATAGTCGAAGTAACCGGTATTGTGCATAGTTAAAGCTGTCGGCGATCTCAATAACGAAATTAGTTAGCTCCCTAACTATATTATTAAAGGGGAGCTGTTGCTATATCTATATGCTATATCTTCTTGAACTATGCCCAGATCGTTTTTTCATATAGTTGAATAATAAAAATAAATTGAGGTGGAAATGATTCAAAAATGAAGTGTATCCAGTTCAAAGTTGTTCGTGATGAAACACACAGAAAATTAATTTCGATCAGAAATTTGAATTTGTGTACATTGTTTCAAATAAATCAATTTAATATTTGCTGCCAAATCTTTCTATTTTTCGTAACGAATCAAATATATGTATACTACATGTGTACTTTCTTTCTTTATAGAGAAGCCAACATAAGTTAAAGAAAAATATAATCTTTGAGTTTCTGACATATAACTAACGACAGACACACATCGTGACACTAATCTAAGTTTCCATTTCAAAAGACTTACTCGAGTAATCGACTTTTCCAACCATTTTCAAAAACTGTCCCTACAAATTCACTGTCACTTTATTCACTAAACCGCGAAAAGCTACCGAACAAAATACGCCGCAGATGGAAGTTTTTTCAGTACTGGCTTCCCGCTCGATCCCATCGGATAAAACGTACAAAACTCTCCAGTGAAAATAAATAAAGCATAAATTAAGTATTGGGTAAGTTCTTGTGATTCAATGTAAACAAATCAAAGGCCGGAGACCCAAACGCCAGATGAGCCGGTTCACCCACGTTTCACAACTTTTCTCAGCAACTTCGCTAAAGACTTGCGTCCCGCGGAAAATACTGTGTCATGTGTCGATTGTTTGAATTTTTACGCGACACACTAGACCTGCTAGCCAGCTAGCCGGTTATCTTTTGTTAACACATACGGAGCGAAAACCGCTAATAACTTTAGGTATTAATTTCACGGCATAGTTTGGAGTGGGTACACCATATTATGCAGCGGTGTATTAAAACTAATGTGATGTCATCGAGATGATTTTAATTTAATTTTCGTCTATTGTTCAAGCCCGCATTATAATTTTGATGCGTGAGTTAGGAAATTCACTGCTCAAGGCCAAGTTCAATGGATTGTCACCAAGATGCTCTAAAAGTCATAGATCACCATCAACTTGCCCGTTTAAGTTCAATGATTCGTTAAACTCCTTCCTCTACTATAAAAACCAACAACAAAAAGATTTCGAAGTAATTGTAGACGATATCAATGTAGACATTTTGGAAGACACGGACTACGTTACGGAGTAACTAAGTTACGGAGACTACGTGGCAAAAATATGCGATTGCTGCACTATATTCGGAAGTTCAGTGATAATATCTTATTTGAAAGATATTTCAGTAGATACAGCAGCATCTATAGGCAGGTTGTTAGACAAGCAAAAAAAAAGTTACTATAAAAATAGATTCGAACAAGCTGATAACAAATCGAAAGAAACTTGGCAAGTAATTAATGACCTAAGAGGTAAATCTAATAAAGTAAATGAAGTTTTACTTTCACCAAACGTTCTTAGTGAATAATACTGCTCTATTGCAGAAAATCTGACTGAAAGATTGACTACTCAGAACGACCCAATGGAACAATTCAAAAACCCCTTCATTTCTGAAACGTGCATTCTCTGTGACAGTGATATTCATGAGCTGAAACAGGTGATTGTTTCCATTGGAAAATAGTCGTCATCTGGTTACGACGACATTACAGCAAACATTTTGAAAAATCTCCCAGATAACACATCACAACTCTTGACCAATGTCATTAATGCATCATTTCAATCAGGAAAATTTCCTGACTTCCTGAAGGTATCATTGGTAATACCACTATATAAAGGAGGAAATCAGGACGACCCCTCGCATTATCGGCCTATTTCCCTAATACTGAGACATTACAGTTCAAAATAGTCTCCTTAAAATGGACAAAACTTCTGAAACGCCTATGTATTAAGTTGTCACTTTATTATTTATTTGAATAGCCACAGATTTTGCAGCATTCACGAAATCTTTGTGTAGGTGTAACGAAACCACCAACGCTAGCTAGTTGCGAATGCATTTTTCCACTCATAAAATGTCGTGTCAAGGGTGAATATGCGATAAAATAAGTTTTATGTTCATTGTTAGAATAGAGTGAAGGGTAATAAAACCAAACAATATATCGGTTACATCACTTCGTATAATGTAATGACATCATCGACAATATTTGCTATGAAATTAGAACATCCATAATGATTCAAAGGGTCAACAAATGTGGTTTTCTTAGCAATAGTGTGGACACTATAATTAGTTATTTGGTCACATATTGTGAGAAGTCGGAACGTGAATTTTCTGCATGCATCATCATTCTTTATCACGGAAAAGTGACTCACAAACAGGAAGAGGTGAAAAACTTGGTGAAATTCCTAATGACGAAATTAACAAGAGTGAATGACAATGTTATACCTAGGTAGTTTGATATTTCGTATTGGAACCTCTGGCGTAAAATGAATCACTTTCACAACACCAGAACCAAAATACGGTGTCTCGACGCGCGTTTCGGTAACCAAGTTAACGCTAACTTGGTTAGCGAAACACGCGTCGAGATACCATAATTTTTGTTCTGGTTTTGGGAAAGTGTTTTCGAGAGATTATTTGTAGGTAGTGAAATTTCTAGGCACAATACTCCATCTTATCCTCAAAAAAATCCCCTTTTTGACGTAGTAGTACTTTTAATAGGTTATGCACAAATCTACAAAACGTTATTTTCATAAAACTTCTGTCAACCACGTATCAGATTCAGGTAATTGTTAAAATGCAACATTGCAGACAGTGCTGATTCATTACTTTTTGAAACAGTTATGACTCTATGAATGAATCAATTCAATAATGTAATCAACAATGCTCTCATTATAATTCGAAACACAAACACTGCAAGTGATGAACTATTACGGCTTCATTATGAAATTGAAGGTGAGCGATACGTTGCATGCACATGTTAACCTAATTTTTCAATGAAATTAAATTGTTCGTTGATAAAATGAGGTTTATGACCATTTCCGGTGCAGTTGGAAGGGATAAAAATGAGCTCCGTCACGCTGGAACCCGATTTGGAAAAAATCTACCTTTTCTAAACCTACTTTACCGACAAACGATTATAAGAAATGTAGTAAAGTTCATTTTTTGTAACCTTATCGGTTACACATGAGAAAGCACTATTGATATTATTCAAACTACGAAATACAAGTAATGATGCGTTAAAAATTTTTAAAATAGGT